ATGCTAAATGGGAATATAGCCCACAGTTTTCATAGAGATACTATAAGAGGAATACGACCCTATAGTCCTGGTTGTAAAATGAAGAGCCCATCTGAAAGTTCATTCCACTGTTGAACTGGACGCTAGCGTTGCTTTACGTCAAAAGGCTTGTGTTTCCTGTGCTCTGCAGCACCTGCAGCCTCTTCCTGTGAAGAATCTCTTACATAAAAATAGCTGAGGTAATTCCAGTTCTGTGGAGAAGGGAGATAAAAAAACCCCAAAACATTTTCTTACAGTGACTCTACTTTCTTTGAAGCAGATTCCTCAAACTTACCTGGCTCACAGCTGATGTGCTGGGGATCAACACTAAATGCCTGAGCATAAGTGACAGAGCCCTTGCAGAGTGTTCACAAGGGTCCCACTGTGACAACTCTGGTTTTAGAAACAAAAGGTGGGCCATAACTGAATGTAATGTCTCACTCTATCCTCTCCAAGAAGTTATTCTACCCTCTCTCCCCAGATAATCTCTCTAAAGCTGGGTGCTTTATTAAAATAATATTTGCACTACCCTTAAGGAGATGACTCTGGATTGCTCTGCTTTAGGTGTTAACTGCACTTTCTTTTCTTCACAGACCTTTTCCAAAGCAAAGGAGGAAAAAAATCACTGTGCTAGAGCAGTGCAACTCAACTACTGATGCTAATACTTTAATTCCATGCCCTGAGAAAATTTCTCCATAAGCCAATACTCTTGTGTAGAATACATTTATATACCCTGCATACATGCAATCTACATATGTGTGTGCATGCATGTTTATTAATGACACAGAATATCAATCACTTATAAAATTTTCCTACATTAAATGGCAGCTTTTACGGAAAATAACCATTTTTAGACCATCAGCTGTATCAGCAGCTGTCAAAAATGGTAATCTTGGCTCCAATGAAGTTACATGTTATACTCTTTATTAGTAACATATAATGATGCCACCCACATATACACATACATACAATATTGCAATCAGAGAATATTCATAAGGAATTTTTAATTTTCTCTTGAAATAAAGAATGGGACACTAACAAAAACAAAATATTACAGCAAAAATCTTTGCAGTCTTCATGAGAAGAACAAAGACATGAGCAGTAAATAACATGGGTCTTACATGGAAATACATTTCTCTTAGGAATATTTTTTGCTTAATTCATTCTAGTTCATGCATTAACATCACTTCTCCCTCTTCACAGACTTCAGAACGAATGGTGGTGGTGGGGAAATCACATGGGATACAATAACTTAGCCTGTGGTCTATGAATCATTAATAGCCTATAACACTTAAGAAGGTGATACATACACGTATTGAAAGGCAGCAGCCGAAAAGGTCACATGTTCCCATTCACACAGGAAAACTCATGAGTTCACAGAACGGAAAATGAAAGCAATGAATGCTTATAGCTTAACCCAATTTCACTTGGTTGTAGATGCACAAGGTAGTCCAAAGATTTCTCAAAAAGCATTTTTTCATTAGGCAACAGGGGCTGGCAGCTCTAATTACACACTCCAGTGATTGTGTCTGAAACAACAGACTGTCTTGAACAAAAGAGATGACCAAGAGGATGAAGTTAGGAAAGCCCTATTAACCTGAAACGATTCATATGTATTCTTCCCACTTCTTCCCTTCTTCTTTCTTCCTCAAAAACATGAGCATTCAGCCACAGAAAGACATGCTATTAAAGACAAGCACCCATCTACAAAATAAATGCTCTGAAGGATTTATCTACTGGGCTGAAGAAGAAAGCTCCCGATTGCAGCAATTCCAGGCCTTACAGGTCTGGTATTTTCACACCCAGTCAACAGAAACAAGGGTATTAAGGCCATGTTAGGAATCCTAAATAAAAATGGGTCAGTGGTCTCTGGGTCTCTCCCACTGAAGTTAGCAAAAGTTTAATATGGTCTGGAAGAAACAAAGAAAAATTGAATTTTTTTAAAGGCTATTCTCTGAGTCTTGTAGCTGAAAGTTAGCAATTACACACCCTGGTGGGCCCCTGAGAACTCGGAGGCAGCCCCCTTGCTTACGCTCACCACTACATGAGTTCTCCTGCATCCTCTAGAGTTCTCTCGAAGCACTTAAAAGAAAAGCATATTGAAAAGCAAAAGCTGATGCATGGGACTCTTAGTGGAGGGCTGAGCCAGAATCTCAAGGCTAAGACAGTCAGAAATCCTATTTCCAATTCCAGATGGATGTTTGATTGGGTGGATGCTGTTTGTTTAAAAACAAAAATTAAAAGCAAAAAGACCAAAGCCCCAACTACCCCAAACTTATTTCTGCCATGAGCTAGAACCTCAATTTCTTGACAGACAGATGATAAGACTATTGCATAAAATACTGTTTTGTTCTTTATTTGCTCTTTATTTTGCTGCTGAGCCTTTTATTTAAATACTTTATCATTGCCTGGAAATAGCTCACAGGTTTCCAAGCTCCTTTTAGAGGGGGACTATTAAATCCAGGATGTAATTAAGCCTTCATTATTAGGAATATTTCCTTTTCAGGGACCCAGCAGGGTTTCCAGCATGCCAAAATCTTGTTTGGACCTTTTCAGAGCGTAGCCAAGATAAAAAACACAGGGAGCCAGAAGGGCTAGAATATTTTTTCAATAATCAGCTGAACATAACTAAAGAAACTGGATACTAGCAGTGAGGAAAGGTATTAAAAAATACATTTTAAAAAGGAAGAAAAAAGCTCAATCTTTGAATTTGAACAGTGTGTACTGGACATTTCAGAAAGCATTCTGGATACTGCCAAAGACTTTCTGTTGGACATCTGAAGACACTTCCCCAAAACTGCAAAAATATTATTTTGTTAAGATTTTGCAACAGTAGAAGTACAAAGCAACCATGGGCCATGAACACAAATATTTACTGAATCTGTACCTTGAAAAGCTCACTGGACATTTCAGAAAGCAAAAAAAAAAAACTGGACATTTCAGAAAGCATTCTGGATACTGCCAAAGACTTTCTGTTGGACATCTGAAGACACTTCCCCAAAACTGCAAAAATATTATTTTGTTAAGATTTTGCAACAGTAGAAGTACAAAGCAACCATGGGCCATGAACACAAATATTTACTGAATCTGTACCTTGCAGAAGAACGTATATATTTTGGCACACATTATATCGTTTTTCCAAAGGGAAAAGCCACCCACTAGCCACTCTCTAGCACTGGACTCAGCAAAGAGACATGGACCCTTTTTTGAAAGCTGACTGTTCCAAGCAAGCCTAGCTTATTCTGGTATGTATATTGCCATTCAGTCTTCCCATGTCTGAAGCATTTATCATACAAAATGTTAAATCAAGATCATCAAGTTTAGGGCTAAGTTTAGAAAGCTAAGTTTACAGGGTCCTTTTCATATAAAAGGATTCTCTAAATCTACAGTGAAACAAGAAAAAGAAAAGCATTTAACGATACTTGTCATAGTAATATACTATCTTGGACTTAAAAAGTTTCCCATACCCAACTGTAACAATCTGTGGAAAACTTCGAGCAGGATTCCACCTTCTGGATGGCACTACGTCTGTGGGAACTCAAAGAGACAGCATCATTGTCGGTACTGAACCTGCAGGCTCAGCTTAAAGGCTGCTAAAGCTTAAATGTTTGCAAAAAGTCTGTTAACTCAGGCTTGACTTTTTCAGTAATAGTAGGGCCTCAGTATTATTGTAGTGCTATCAATTCTGTAGGTGTGTAGATAGAGCACAAAGGTAAAGGAGAATATTTTCAGAAGCACTGCAGTGAGAAATCCACATCCCAAATTCAGACAAATGTAATAACACAAGGTGAATGTTAATGAAGTCCGCTCGTTTTGTAGCTAAGATGCATGATATAAACAGCAAATATTTCATCAAAGTGAAACATCACTATTTTCCTTTCAGTCATCCTTACAGCTTTTAACAAACTGCGAAAGACACCGTTTAAGTTATACGAGCACAAAAATTTCACGAGACAAATTATACAATTCATAACGCAGAGAAATAAATGCAAAAAATGGTAGAACACATTTTCTGATACTCCACAAATATTCAGAGGAGGTTTAACACAAAAAATGGAATTTCTTCAGCAGCACTGATTAAACTCAAGATGAGGCAAGGATCTTCTTTACAAAGTAAAGGCACCAGCTCTTTGTAAACACATACTCCTCTCACTTAAACTGAGAAAACACTCAAAGTATTCCATGGAGGCAACCTGTGTGGTAGCGTTCCATTGCCTATAAATACGTCACAGTAGAGATATCAAAGGCCTTTCTCCTCCTTTTCACTGTATTTAATAAGAAATGTTTTTTCTTCAATTTATTAGTGGGAAACTCTTAAAATCTCCCTGGAAATGTTACAATGAATCTATAAGACAGTGTTTTCTTTTATCTGCCTTCTGATATCTATCAAGAAGTTTCAAGGCAGAAGAAATGTCAGATGCCAGTATGAAACACACGTTTGCAGTCATCTCTTGTTTTCAGAATTGTGCTATAGACAGTTTCCCAGAACAAACTGTTGGCTTGTATTAAAAATATGGATACATTTAAAAAAAAGGAACTTGTGAACATCCTCCAGCTGTTCAGCTACTTACTCGCTGACTTTTCAAATGCACTAGCAAAGACTGAACAAGAAATTAACTACCTCTCAATTCTTTGGGGAAAAGAAGATTAGATACTTCCGATCACGAGGACTGTACTTCAGGATTCCAGATTTTTTCAAGTATGCATCCTGAATGTACATGTCTCCCTAGCGTGGAGAGTATTCACACACTTCCTTACTAATGAAACTGCAAAACTTGAAAACTGTTAAAATAAGTATTAAGGTGAATTGTTTGCATCTTGGGCAAAATGAACTGAGCATCTTCATAGTTTCCACCACACAACTATCACCAAATCACCAAACACATTTTACTACTCATACACACAAATCCAGTGATTACACTAATTAATATTGTTCAGTGTCCAACCAAACTTGTGCGTTTCTAGGTCACCTTCTTTCAGTTTTATAAAGCCGACTGAATTTTTAATGTAGTACTTTCAAGTTCTACAGGACTGTCAACTGGTACCTGGAGAGGGGGGGGAAAAAAGCAGAAATTAAGCTGTTACACAGCAGAAGCTATTCCTAACCTCAGTATTCTTGGGTAATTATTAGGTTAGACTCCAATAGTATATGTAGTTAATTAGCCAAATTAGAACTTTTTAGAAAGCCCTACTTTCCTTTCTCTCCGAAATAAAAAAAAAAAAAACAAAAAACAAAAAACATAGAATTGAGTTTCTTGGTATAACTTTAAAGTATATATTTACTGCATATAGATATTTATCACATGGAGATTAACTCTCAGGTTTTTTCTCCATCACGTTTAAATACAGTAGAATTTTGATGACCAACGTTTGGAATCAGACTGCTATTGTACCTTATTAACACAGGCAGCTCTCAATTATTTATGGTAATATCAGGGCGAGGACTCCAGGCTTTTGTTATATCCTGGCTAATATAAATGAAGTTGTGTGACAATCTACGCTAATTAACAAGGTGATAACGGAAAACAGACAAGTCATGGACCACTGCCTATAGCCCGCACGTATACCCGTGAGATAGCCCCGAACCAGGCTGGTAAACCCACAGGATGCCACACTGTGCACACACAGCTGCACAGGTTTCAGGTTCAAGTTAGCTCATACAGCACCAGCTTGGAAATTTCTGAACCTTATGCAGACACTAACAGTGTGCGCCTGATCGCAGATGATCAAAAGCTGCTGTATATGCAAGACACGTACACATAAAAAGAAGCGTGACAGAGGATCTTGCAATATCTGACTCCAAAAAGCTGTTTCATTATTTTGATCCAAATGATCAAATGCAATATTGAAACTGCAGCACGACTTCTGTTCATCAGACACTGACTTCACTTAAAGGAACTGGAGGTATTTTAAATAAAATATGTAGTCTATAGCACAGCCTCCTAACCCAATAAACACAAAGGCTTCACAATTTACAATGCTACCTGCAAACATGAAAAAGCAAGATTCAAGCAATAAAATCAGAGATTAATATTAGCCACTTAAAATTCAGAAAAATCTGAAAGCAGAAGGTCTTTAGTTTTCTTCATGGGAGCTAAGGGGAGAAACAGGTATCTGAGGGCAGCATCCCACGTAGCTCTGTTGTTCCAAAACAGCATGGAAACAGTCATAAGTTTTTGTCAATTACTCTTTTGCTGTTAATATTATTATGCCAATAGAAGCCAAGCATTCAAGTACAATAATACAATTATGGTAAAGAGTTATCACTTACAGCTTTAACATCCAAGTTCATAATCCCTGAATTCACATTATGTCTTCGCAAATCTGATTTTATTAAGGCTGAAGTAAAAAAATAAAGAGAAAGCTGGTTCACAACTTTGCAATGACATGCATTTCAAGGGAAATGTTTGTACAGTGCAAGCACATGGAAGCTGCTTTCAGCACATATTCAAAATACCTGTATTCACTCTTTTGCGATTTGAACTTACTGACAATTTGAACTTGCTCCTCACAAAGCACACGCAGAAAACGACAATAAAAGCTTTTAAACCACGAGTACTTAAAGCAAAGCTTGATGGTTTTAGCAGTTTCAGCACATTTGTAAGTACCAGCATGTGTAAGTCACTGGTACAGTTCAGGAATACATAAGCAGTTTCTTGCATTTGGAAAACTGCAAACTGTCTCAATTTATGTATTTGTTTACATTTATTGTCCTACTCTGGAGATAGACATCTGCCTCAAATTCAAGACATGACTCAAGAAATGGGTGACAGATGGCTGTCCATATATTAGCAACATCATCCTTAAAACAAAGGGTGTGCGCACAGCAAGTATTTAAAGTGAAAAACAAAGGGAAAAAAAAAAAACAAACCCTGCACTTGTAACTTCTGTCAACCCAGACAGGAAGCCACATATTTAAATCCTAGATGTCTGAGACATCTAGAAACTACCCAGAAATTCACTATCTCAAAAAAGCCTCCACATTTTTATATTAAAGAGAAATCATTACATTTCTGATTAATTACCTGTTAAGATAATGCCCACAAAAATCCAAGCACAAAGAAAGAGGTTTCCTGCACGAGGACTGTAGTCTGTTGTGAGTTTTCCTTGAACAAGTGTAAAGACAATTCCAAATATCTACGAACAAATAAGTCACTTCATCAGGATCACACAGAGAAGAGTCATCACTTTACCTTGCAAAGTTTCAGCTCACATCTTATAGAAACCAAATTAAAAAAATTAAGACTACAGCAACACAACAGAGACTTAGCAGCCAAGTCTAAGAACGCCTTCTTAGATTCAAGCAGAGTGGCCTTCCTGAACATTACTTCACTTGAAGAAATAAAATGATATAACCTGTGCTGATGCATTAAGGAGACCTGAGGAAGTGCCTTCAGACTCTGGGTATGTAATTTCCACAGCAAATTCAAACCCAAGTGGGAGATAGCCAGTCATGAAGAACCTGTTGAAGAGGTAAGAGGATGACAGGTGTGGCCTTCATCTATTACTACAGCTAAGAAAATCAAACATAAAAACATGGTATTATGAATTAGCTGGTATTCTGAACTGTCTGTTTTCAAGACCTAACATGATTCAATACTTCCTTTGCCTGCTTCATTCCTCTGACCTCATCCAACAATTTTAGCCATACATCTCTCTTTTTAGGACAAAGACGTTTTAATGTATTTGTCCTGTTTCCCATAACCACCTGCACTCCACCCCATACATATGAAACAACCTTCTCTGACCGGTCCACAAGCCACTCCATAATTGAAGCCAATTACTTTCAAATGAAAGACATACACGAACATCATCATTTGTTCAGCCCAAACATCCATGCTGGAGGACAAAAAGAGACCATCAGCAGGGAGTGAGGCTGGACACTAGAATGTCTGCTAGAAGCTGCTGTGGAAGAAGCTGAGGGGACCGACATGTGACAGGAAGACTTAATGCAGTTGAGGTTGGTTGATTGGTTTTTAAATTGAAACTCGCAAGACATTTCTGGCTCTACCTTGACTCCTGTGTCTGTATACAGCACTATTCCCTCAGCACCTTTTGGGGTTTTAGATCATGTATCTATGAGAAGTACTCATGCTCTTCTGAGCGAACAAAATACCCAGCACATTGCTTGGGCTATAAAAATATAGATTAATCAAAATGCACAGAAGCCAGTCTTTCTAGATTTTCTCAATTAAACTCTAATCACTTATCCACTGGTCAACAGAAAGATTCAACTTCACTGACTTTACTGCAGACAGCTTTTTGAATTGGAACCAAATAAATTGACCACATACAGACTTCTGTTAGGTCCATAAAAATGTTAAATGAAATTCACTGAAACGTGAGTTACTTTAGATTTATTCTGATGTAACAGAAGGTGAAACCCTAGTAAACCCTATCTGTACTGTGAGCTATAGGCATAGGTTGAGAGCATGGCGACAGAATATACAGTAGAATCATTTAGTTAAAACAGTTAAATATTGTTTCAGAACAGAACTGCAGTAAGTCTTCTAGTCCTCCTTAATTGCTCACCCAAGTACTCCTCCAGTCACGAACACTACTATAAGGTATCCGAGGTCCAGGGTGAAAGTAAATACCAGCAACCCAATGAAAGAGAGGATGTAAACAATCAAAGTAGTTTGCCTGCAACCCAACCAAAAAAAAAAAAAATTAACATTGTTAACATAAGGTCATAGCACATTGCTGAAGCATGGAAAAGTAAAATAAACATTACTTACTCTCTAACAACTGACATTCTACAGCTATAAAATTTGCTTCATGTAATTCTGACTCAAACTTATCATGCAATGAGAATGCATCCCTTCCTGAACTCTTCATTGCCTTGTTATATGGCTGCTTCACTCAAGGCTAGAGACTTACTTAGACTCTCAAAGAGTGGACAATCACAGCAGATACTATTACCTTAAGACTATTTTAGATCTCCGCTATGTTGAACCTCTTGGCCATTCTGCAGCGCAGCCCGTTATACAATACATCAATATGCGAGCAGCCAAATCGAACACTATTAGCAATAAAAGTCAGCCTAAGAGAAAAGTCAAACAAATCTCATTACAATGTTCTATTTATTTTAAATCTGAAATAAGGGATGTCATCCAAAATATTAAAGCACATATCACTTATTTATAAGCCAAAACACATGCAAAACCAAAGCCAATCTACAGCATTAACATCCATTAGGTTTCTAGAGCTCTTGCACGTAATGTACTAAGAGTCACTCCACCGCAAGCAGCGCTCCAGGGCACTGCTCACTCCTGGGCGGCACCACACCACGGGTGATGGACCCGGGAGCTCCTAGCCCAGAACAGAGTTCTGCTCCATGGTCATCCCCTGAATTAAAGCAAATGTTATGCTTACTAATAGGACCAGGAGTAGCATTTTAAAAAAAAAAAAAAAAAATCAATCTATCAACTGTCCATTTTACAAAACAATGCAGAGTAGGTTTTGAGCCTTTATGCTTTCCTAGTAGAAGGAGTCCACTGGGCCACCTGGCCAATGTATGTAGGACATACAGTGCTTTCCCTGTTAGCCTTACACTCCTGAAGAGACAGGAGTAGATGGAAAACCCCTTCGCATCTCTGCATTCTCCTCTCTCATTTCTTTTGGCCAAGAACCAGTAAGAGTCTCAAGCTTTTCTGTAGCCTCAGAAACTAGTCTCCATCAGTGCCGCTAAAAGATCATAGATTAACTGCATTTTATCAGCCGTTCACTTCAGCCCTTGGGTTGCAGTATTTTCCTAATGCAATTGCACCGCTTTCCTACCCCTAACCCCATACATGCCTACCCACACTTACTTGTATGTTTTAGTGTAATCCAGCCACAAACCACAAATAATCGAACCCACCATTCCTGCCACCACCAGTGTCAAGCCAATTCTCCCAGCGTTCACTTCTTCTCCCTTTCAACAAATATTTATATGGTGCTCATTAATAACTTGCTTCCACTCAGAGTCAAGTTCAGACCTCTTGGCAGTCATAAGCGCAAAGAAACATTCCTATGACTCCCATAGCTGTATGGTGCAAGAAACTGTAGGGGAGTATAAAGGAAACCGAACGCCTGAGCACACATAGCACCTACATAATAATAAACATCACCTCTGCAAATGTACAGTAAAAAAAAAAATACAAAGAAGATCCAAGAAACTTACCTCATAATGAGTTACTATCATCTGGTTTAATAACGTGGAGACAGAATAAAATGCCCCAGTCATAATACCTGCAGTACCAAAAGAAAAGCTTCAGTCATTCCAGGTGTAGCCACGCAGATCTGCTACCCTAAAGAGTTAATCTTCTGATATTTAAGACTCGTATCAGAGGCAAAACCTTTTATCTGCCAGGTAAAATCTCTTCACCAGACCTATTTTGAATCCTGCCAGATTTTCCAGCACTGGCTGCTGAGCAAGTAAAAGTTTGATGCTCCCTCCACCATAAAAAACCACCACCACAACTAAAACTCAATGTGCTTTCAGCATACATTTGAACTGTTCTGCCAGACCACAGCCAGGCATCACCACTTACCGTAACTGATCAGCAGAAGTACAAATGGAATATTTTTGAACAAGTTAATAATCGACTGCTTGTAGGAGTAATCCTCGGGAGGCATAGTTTGCAGGACTGCTTGAGAGTGACTAGGAGGGTATTTGGGCTTTTCTTCAAACACTGGCGAAAAGAAGAAGGAACAATTTTGATTTGTCTTTACCAGACTAATGCTTTTTCTTTCAGAATTTCAGAAGATTAACTTACGGTTTTTAACATTTCCATGAAAAAAAAATTCTAGATTTTCTCATGGAAGAATCAAGTCACAGCTGCAAAGGATGTGCTAATTATTTGCTCACATCTGATTGCTACCAACATATGGTCAGACAGACTTCATCTGCAATGTGCCTAGACCTTTCTATCTGAATTTTAAGATTAACAGAGAGAATTCACATTACATCATAATGTCCTTGCAGCAAAAAGCCTAAGTGAACTAAATATTCCAAGAGAGGTCACCGCATGTGAAGCAGGCCATACAGTAAACTGGTTGTCACTTAACCCTGGCGCAACAGGTAAGTGAACACAAGCAAACTGGAGAAAATGTAACCTCAACTACTTTGAGCAAAGTCAGATGCTTTAAGTGAGATGTTGTAAACTCTCCCTATGGTCACCATTTAAATTACAAGAACAGAACACTTACCGACTCCTGTTAAGAAGAACAAAAGCGTGGACACTATCGCTGTTCCATAGAACATGATGCTGATGTTATGTGCCATTAGATTGATATCGTTAGGTGTATTTGGAACCAAAACAGGTGGCAACAAAAAGCCAATTGCAGTGCCAAGCTGTAAAGCAAGAAAAGAAAACAAAAAATAATTGCCCTGTGAACATAAAAATCAACAGAAGTGAAAAGCCTTACCAGGTAGAATTCAGAATTTATATCATAATAAGTATTAACAAAACTATGAAGGAAAAGTGTGCCTTTAGTATCATACTTCTGAGCCATTTGCTCTCAATGACACTTCACAATCAGGTCTTCCATAACTCAGGTTTTAACCTTTTCATTTCTAAATTAAACTATAATACTACACCTAGTACATAGCACATTTAACAACTAAGCATTAAGGAAGTTTTTTTTGCAGAAGAATCTTTCACAGGAAAACACTATGCATACACATAAATTCGTTTTGGTCATCCTGCAACTGAAGGCCTAGAGATGACAGAAGACTCCAGCTACTCTTGTAGAAACGCTCTTCTCTTTCTCGATCAAAACGCTCCACTTGATGTCACGATTTTGCCACTACAGTAATAAAGACTGACATGCAAGGTTTATTGCTGAACTGATAGAGCAGAGAAGAGCAAAAGAAAAGGAGCATCCTTATTAAGAAACACAAAACCAAAACTTACATCTGCAATTATTGCTACGGAAATAAAGAAAAATCACAAAATAAAGTAGTAGTGGGGTTGTATCTGAAGTCAATTCCAACATAGCAACTGATTTTGTATTAAAAAGAGACAAAAAACAAGGGCTGAAATTTTGGGTATATATATAAAGCATTTTAAAACATGAAGGAACAACAGGCTTGGCCTACTCTCCAATTTATCTCTGCTGCTCCTCCAAAACTAAACTGCATTTTAAAGTGTTAGAACAAGTATTTTTTTTAACTAAAAAAACCCTGCATCTATTTCAGTTTTTTTTTTTAAAAAAAAAAAAAAAAAAAAAAGAGCACCAAAGTCTGTTAGAGTAGCAAGTCCAACACTCAGAAAGTACTCAAATTAAAGGTGTGCCAATGTGCTTACAAAGCGCCCTTTGTGCATATGCCTGATGAGGGTTTTGCTGCCTTTTTTTTTCCCCACAGACCATTAGATTTACAGTTTCCACGGCTCACCTGAAGAATTTCTCTCTTTTTATCCTCACCTTTCAGTATACCAGCATGTATACTTGTACAAACATTACCCTTCAGTAACCCTACAAACATGAACTGAGTACACAATTACTCTTTTTCTTAAGGTATGTTTTTTCCTCCCCCCAATGTGAGCCAATACAGTACCCACAATATTCCAAGAAAGTCAAGTGATACCATTTTTCACCTTTTACATCTAGAGAGGTTAAAGCCAGAAGGCTCGAGAGTTCCAATAAGTCTGGCGTGCCCAGTTTAAGATGCTAAACACTTACGCAGATCTGGCGCTCCTAACTACCCTTGGCAGGTATATCGCTGCATTCCCAGTGACTTGCGTTGCAACTGCAAATGATGAGCATCTCAAGAGATAACGGGTGCGATGTGATTTTTGATAACTACTCTGTCCCTCCCCTGCTTGCGGTCCCAGCCCTGTTTACCGTAGCTCTAAAGTTATGCAAAGTATCTGATAAGAAATAAGATGACCAACAGCCCAGTTGGTTATAGCAACTCGATTCTGTTACATAGTTCACCTTGCGCAATTAAACAAGTACAGTGAGACTGTATCGTAATGCGTATGCAGAAGTGAACTGCATTGGGATATACAGACAACATTACTTCTAACTTCCAAGTGCCTGATTTGTTATTTCACTACTCTTTCAATCCAGCTTTTGACAGTTTTTTTTTAAGAAAGCAAAAACTGAGAACAGAGAAATTCTATTGTTTGACACCATATCAGTCTTCATGGGTCACAAGCAGGACCAGGATCTTAAGACCTATGTAGCGCCCAGCTCTGAGCTAGCAGGGTACGGCATAGCTGCAGAACAAGCCATTATCCTTTGCGCAGGACTGCCAGAGGGAGATGAAGCCCACTTTGTCAGTCGTTTCACAGGTGTCTCCCTGGCAGAGGACCATCAAGCACGTCGGCACACTAAGATCAGTCCTAGCTTCCGGAGGGGAATACGCTCCAGAAATAACTAAAGTTTATTTTGTTCACACTTCTGCTCCCACTTTCCTTGTCCATCTTTCTCGTGGTTCCTATCCGCACAATCCCTGCACTCCTGCTCCTGTCCTGCACCGCTTCAACCCCCACATCTCAGCATCCAAGCGAAGCATCAGTTTCAGACTCCCAGCTGGATCCTTGGCACTGTACTGCAGAACTGAAACCCCAGTAACTCCTTGCTACTGGGAGGACTGGTGCAGGTCAGAAGAGTGGAAATTTAGCTGCCAAAGAAACCTTTAACCTGATTCCAGGACGCAGATGCAAAATTTTTGCTCAACTGCTAAAAAAACCAACCAACAACCCCCAAAGTCTTCAGTCCAAAAGGGACAGTTGATTTGTCCACTGGAAGACTTCAACGCAAAAAAAACTGGTTTGGAAAACCACTGGGGAAACTGTAAACAGACAGGTATGAGCTAATGAGCAGCCCTAACTGTAAATATGTAAAACTAATATTACCGCTGTAATAATCCAAAGTGCACAAACATAAAATCATTAGACTCACATGAGGAAAAACGAAATCTCCCGTTACCTTAATGAAACTGTACCTATGACCTCAGCCTGCACCAGTGATATTGATGGGAATCTTAACGTTTTGTTGCCACAGAAAAGCAGGGACAGTGGCAAGGGGCGAGAACAAGGCTACAGGAGGAAAAAAAAAGAACCATCAGCATCATATTTTCACCCGTGCTTTCAGGTATGCCTGTTCCAGCTCTATGAAACCGGCCAGGACCAGGGAGCTCAAGGAAATCTGTGACTCAGTTATAAGCTCCCCACACCAACGTGAACTATCACAGCATTACAGAAAGCTTCATGAGTCACCAGGGCATTGACTACTGGCACTTAGTGATTCGAGGCCATATTTTAGAAAGCAGGAACTAATATATGTTGGCACTGGGGCTCTCCATGAAAGTTCAGGTACTTCACCTGCCCCCAGCTGGGGGCGGATTCAGTCAGATGAAGGATGCCAAACGCAAGAGACAAGATGCCAAACGCAAGAGGAAGAGAAAGCGAAGCAGGGCAGCTTCTGAAAAGGGTCTCGGGCTGATGTTCTCCAGGCAGCTGACAGAAGCATGCAGGCTGCTACACACTGCCACACAGCCAGGGCCCTGCAAAGCAAGGCTGGCTGGGGAGGGTGGGACGTAACATCACCTCTGCGCTTGCCCCCACTCCGTCACTTTTCCTCTCTCCAGTGCTGCCCATAACCATTTCTTGGAGAATGGTTTTTCCCACTTAAAGAACTTATTTTTAAATCAATGCCATGCCAAACTCTAAGGAAGCTCCCTTCTCCAAAGCCTCCCTTGCCCCCCGCCGCCCCTACCTGGTTGCCCAGCACGGCCACGGCGCAGGCGGTGGAGACCTCGGTGGGGCCGAACCAGACGGAGGCGATGCGCGAGGGCAGCCCCAGGATGAAGACCTGGGCGACGGCGCAGACGGCCTGGGCTGCCAAGGTGACGGGGTACCGGCT